GGTCCCTTCCAGCCCTAATGTCTATGAAATCTATGAGGTCCTGTTAATGTGGGGGACCAAATTTGGTCCAGGTAAGCCTTCTGGCACCCGAGGCCGATTGGAGGGTGGCAGAGCAATAAGGGGGTGAATCAGCAGCTTTGTATGGAGAGCCCTGTATGCAAGAGGCCTCAGTCAGAGGAAGGCAGTAGGAGTTTGGCCCATAACAAGGCAGGTTGCTAGAGGCCTAATACTGCAATGAGTCGGGCCCAGGCTCAGGTCAGAGCTTTACACAGCTGTTAGAGACATCTGTGAGGCACAGGGCACATAAGGGAAGGTAGGACCGTGTACTAAAGGACCTAGACATCAGGGCCCACAATGGACAGCTTCCCACCTAATTAAGACTGTAATTACTTAACAGCAAGGCATGGCAGGCGAGATAGATGGGCAGCATGCCCAGAGGCAGTGGGAAACCAGCACTGTGGCTGGCTGGGGGGCTCCCACACATGCACACTCTGGTGCATATGGTAAATTACCCTGGGGACAGTAGGAGAGGCTACAGCCAGCACTGTGCTGGTGCCAGCAGCCTTACCTGGGACCTGGGGGCCTGCTGGGGCTACAACAGCAGCAATTCTGCCACACACAGCCTAGCTGGCAGCCACAGCACAGCCTGACTCTGCTTTTGAGTGGCACGCACTGCCCATGAGTGCACTGCTCCATTTTATTTCTCCACAGATTTTCGAGGGGTCAAGAAAACCCTCTACGCTGCTCGCTTGGAGTGCAGAGAACAACTGAATATGTGGTATGTGGTGCTGCAGGTGCATCTGCACTGCCACATATCACATGGCCGTGTTCATCCGGACACGGCCCTTAAGTTGCAAAAAAAGCATCCTCCCTTTGTGCCACAAAAAATTTTTATGGTAATAAGGGGCATGAATACCCAAGCAAAGGGGCATCATACCCTTTATCACACCACAAACACCCAAAACTGTAGCCACAAGACATGGTAAAACATTGTGCCCCTTTTTTGTGACAGACATGTTTGCGTTATGGCAAGAAAACATGAGCAACCTGCAGCTGCCTGCGCCCTGCAGCCACCCAGAGCAGGTGCTCTAAAGCAGTGGTTCTCAACCTTCTTGGACTTGAGGTCCCACTCTTCACTACCAACCCGCAGTCCCCTGCCCCTGCCAGTGCCCCTCACGCCCAATCCACAGGCCCCCCCACCTCCCCACATGCCTTCTGGTGCCCTTCAAGACTGACCCACTACCCCCTCATCCCCAACCTCACCATTTACAGGGAAGAGAAGGGCCATGGCCCAGCTGCCACCACCTCCCATCAGGTTGCCCATGCAGCTTCCCACCCCACCTCCCCTCCAGCAGTGGGAGGAGGTGAGGCCAATGTACCCCCCAGCCCATTACTCATCATGCTGCTAGTGGCACAACTGGTACAGGAGTCCCAGAAGCAATAGTGGCAACAGGTCTCACTGCCCTGCTCAGCCTTCCTGCACCAGGTCCCGCCTGCTGGGCCAGAGGCAGCTCCTGCCCTTGCCCATCCAGCTAAGCTGCAGCCCCATGCCTGCTGTGGGCACAGCAAGCTGGGAGAACTCCTGCCCCCCACCCTATGCCCCCCAACACAGACTTACCTGCAGGAATAGCTGGTCACATGGCCTGCAGGCAGAAGGAGAGCACCATGCCATGATGGGCAGCACTGCACAAGAAAGTGCACTCAAAGACCTCACCAGACTGCTGCACCACCTGCCCCTGCAGCTCACGCAGCACCAGGCTCAGTCAGCAGAAGCCCAGCATGAAGAGCACCTGGCCTGAGCCCCCCACCTGGAAGCAGCCAGCACCCAAGTACCACTCTCCCACCTCTTCATCCCTCAATCGCAGACCCCCTGAAACCTGCTCACAGACCTCTGGTTGAGAAACGCTACTGTAGGGGCCTTAGAGACTTAATCCTGATTGCCTTTATGCTGCAACAGGGTTTATGGTGATCTAACTTCCTGAGTACGCTGAACTACTTATGCACAGAAACATAACAAGAAAAATTTTCCATATTGAGCTAATGAACATCTAACGCAGGGGTTGGCAACCCGCGGCAAGTGTACCGAGCATAGCACACGAGGCCATTTCGCTTGGTACGACACAGCCAGCCCCGGCTCTGGGTAGCTGCTAGAGCCCGGGCTGCTCCCAGCGGGGCTTGCAGCATCCCAGCTGCCTGCTGGGAGCAGCCCAGGCTCTGTGGCTGGCAACAGCTACCCAGAACTGGGACCGGCTGCAACCAGGAGACTCCAAACAGCTGTGCCAGGCTCCAGAGCTCTGTGCTGCAAGTGGGGGAGAGACCACAGCTGTGCTGTCTCAGGCCCCTCTCCCACCACCCACTCTGACGTGTGGGCACATATGCCAGTATAGAGCCGATGCCAGGGCTCCGCAGCCCAGCACAGCTGTTTGGAGCCTCCTGGCCGCAGCCGCCCCAGTTCTAGGCAGCTGCTGCCAGCCACAGAGCCCGGGCTGGGGGGCAAGGGGCACACATAGGGCATCCTGCCATGTACCCCCTGCCCTCATTTTGTTTTTCTGGCATGCCAGCACTCGGGCACCTTCCGAGGTAGGCATTGTCGGGGTTTTTGGCACTCCAACCAAAAAACATTGCCTACCTCTGATCTAGCGTGTGACAGTTAATTGTATGGCCAAAGTCATTCAACCTTAATAGCTAATGGTCAAACTGAGTTCATACTTAGGCATATAAATGGAAACAACTCCTTCCCCCCCTTCCTCCTGCCCCCCACAAAAAAACCAAGCAACACCATCTCTCCACCTCCAAAATATAGGCAAAAAAATTAAGTATAATTTTACTATTAAAATGAGAACTGTAAATATTTCAAACTCTCCCCTTTTGATCAGTTAGAAGCTGTGAATGTCCCTAGCTTCTTCCTCTGCTTCTAGACTAACTCCTAAGTACACCTCCAAAAAGGCTGGATTTAACATGACATTTACTGCCACCACACCATTTACTCTGCTTTTTCTTTTGGGACTGAGAGCTCCCACAGCCAGAACCATTTAATAATATGTATCTGTACACAGCATAGAACAGTGGGGACCATTCTAGGTTAAACTTTAGTCACACCCCACAATAAACATGATCAACAGCAGGAATAAGATTTCTAGTCGAAAACATTGCTTCTTCAGTGAAAATTTTTTTTGACTTTCCGCTCAAACTTACATTTTGCCTTGTGTTTATTATCTAGATAATCCAAACAAACTGTCAATGTGCTTGACATTAAGTACCTAAACCCAAGATTTAACTACTTAATCCCAAAGGATACCCGTGGCAAAGCAAAAAAAAGAGTTGCCGTAAGTATTTGTTTCCATTTTCAGGAAATTATCTATTAAAAGCTATTTTATTCTTCTTAATTTTCTAGGGTTCTCAAAACGACCTGGACCCTGGGGCATGTAGATCTAATCCACCTCTTCATTTATATTATTCATATCGCTCAAATTTCTTTCTGCAAAAATATTAAATGTCACAAAATAAACGCCACACAGCATCTTCTTTCTAGAGAGAGTTTTCACTCACTTTGTCTCTACTTTATGATGTTTAACCTGCCCACATTATTAAAATGGTTGCTGCTGCAACCATTCAAGGTAAGCAACTCATGTTATGAACAGGTCAGAGAACAGTAGGGAGTACAGATGACTCAATTCAACTACAGACATTTTTTCAGTTGCTACAACTTGAAGCTCTGGTGATCAAGGAGTTCTACATTGCTCTACTACTGAAATAAAACCTACCTATTCTTAGATAACTGGTTAAAGAATAGAAACTAAAAATGCAGCATTACCAGGAAGACAAACTCAGTTACCCATAGTCAATTTTCTCCAATTTGTTGTTTGCGTACAAACTTTAGTCCAGTTTTTCTGTAGTGTGATTAAAAGCAAACCAAAAAAGATTCAACTGTAGACATAAAAACGTGACTGTAGGCACAATCTAAGGATGTAAGAAACATTTGGAAAAGCTTGTTGGTATTCTTTCTTTAAAACAAGAAACTACCAGACAACCAGATTTTGTTTTGTTGACAAAGCAAGATAGCTCCATCCTGGTCATGAGGTTTTATGCTAAAGCACATTCAAGGAGTAATACACCTGCAGGATGAGTATGATGACAGACAGCTCAAGCCTCCACTATTAACAGCCAGCAAGAGGAAGGGGTAAAAGGGACCCCAGACTGCTCACAGAATACTTTCTGATACTCTGGATAGAATCACAAAATGCACTGCAAAATAGCCAACACTCATACACACGGCACAGATCTAGGGATGGTATAGAACCAAAGCTGGTTCCATTTTAGATATA